GAACCGCTGATCGGATCTGATCAAAGGACACGCACAAGATGAAGCCTTGTGTTCCTCTCTGGGTAGGTTATATAAAGCCGCTTTGTGAGATTTCTCACCCCAGATCAGTGATAGCTGATGTAGTGTTGGTTATTTGGTCTAATTAGTATGTCATCATTGTCAGCAATTAGTTAGTGTGTGTGTTCTGGTCGCAAATAAACGGCTCACTGTAGCAGTTCAACAACGTGTCCTTACCAGAGGCAATTTTTCATCTTTGCTGAAAGTGAAACACTGCAAAGCAACAAAATCATATTTAATAATTTCACGAAATCTAAAATCAAACAAAAAAAGTTTGGGATCAGTAAGATTTTTAAATGTTTTTTAAAAGAATTATCTTCTGCTCACCAAGGCTGCATTTATTTGATCCAAAGTACAGCAAAAACAGTAAAATTTTGAATTATTTTTTACTATGATTCAAATTAGAATGATTTCTGAAGATTTAAAATAACTGCTTTCAAATAGAAAGCAGTTATTTTAAATAGTAAAAAATAATTTAAAAATTTTTTTAAACATAAAAAAACTTTTGACTGCCTAGGCTGATTATTCTTATAGATTGAAACAAATGCGCTTCAGGCAGGATAAAGAATATGAAAAGTGCTCTGAGTTGCTGCATACAACAAAAAAATTGAGCAACAACAAAAACATGTTGCTGGAGACGGGCTTATTATGAAAAATGCAAATTCATTCTCTGCCGTCAGGAGGCGCTTTTAGAGTGATAAAACACTGGTAATGTATATCGAAATATCGGAAATGTGTTTAAAAATCATATCACCGTTATTGAAAAAAATTATATTGCGATACATATTGATATTGAATTATTGTCCAGCCCTACTGTATTGGAATATTTATTATTTAGGTTTATTTTAAGGTGTCCTTGTTTATGTGTAATAATACAATTAAGTACTGAATATTTATTAATAACATAATACTTACTATAGGAATAGGATTAGGTTTGGTTTAGGGTAAGTTGCTTGTAATTATGCATAATTTACTGTTATCACTATAGTAAGTACATGTAAACTGTAAAATAGTGTTACCTTATTTTTTCATTCTATGCATTATTAAATTTTTTGATGATTAAATTTAGTTGTAGCATTGTAGTTTTTTTATTTTAAAAAAATTTAGACATTTTAATTTCATGTTCAAATTAATTTCAATTTTTTTATTTTAAAGTAATTTTGATGCATAGAGGTTGCAGATTGAAGTTGTTGGTTCATTTTGTGTAGAAGGAAATGCAGTGTAATGTTTTCACAAAGAACCAGATTTTTTTTGTCTTTCTTTCTTTTATTTTTACTTCTTTATTTCAAAATGATTTCATATATGTCAGGAGAAGATGGTCATTATATAGCAGAGTAGCTGTTAGTGAGGCTCAAGTCATAACTTTACACAGGAACGGGCAAACAAATGAATGAAGCTAAACGGACAAAAGAGTCACTGTTAGCGCTTGGAAAACAAACAGAGGTACCAGGAGCTAATTTCATAGTCAAATAAGAGCGGTCAGGCAGCAGAGAGTGGGGCAATTTCTTACTCATGCAGGGAAAAGCACCGATAATGAGTGACAACAGAAATGCTGAATATTACACTTGCATTGACGTAGATGCTAGATGAGAGAATAAGCATGTAAAACTTAGTTCCATATCTGATATGTCCAGTATGAGGGTAAAAATAGAGAGGACGACTAGTAAGAGTTAAAAAAAAAATGAACGTCATTCTGATTCCAAATTGGGAGTGTTGTTTATTTACTCACTGATAAAGGAAGCTTGCATGCTGAAGAGCACTAAAGGAAATCCCTTCTCCAGCATTCCTGATGGTCCAAAGTCACTGACCAGCTTTGACCTTTCCAAAAAGTTAGTTTAAACAGTATCTAGCAGAAAGATAGTTAAAGGGACAAAATCATTTACTCACTCTCATCTCATTCCAAACCTGTACGATGTAGTTTTTTGAACTTTCATTCATATTGTATGGACAAAAATGGTTATTCGAAATATATTTTGTGTTCCGCAGGAGAAAGGAGTCATACAGGTTTGTAGCAACATGAGACTTGAGTAAATCTTGTCAGAATTGTCATTTTTGGTAGCACGTACTTTTCTGTGGTTTGCCAAAAAGGCTTTTACTTTCTTTTTGGTCAGGTTTGGCACTAGTGTAGATTATAAAGAAAAGAGTGGACGTTTCAGTATAGTTGAACTATGTTCCCATGAACTTTGACTTGTCTGAACAGCTCTGCTGTAATCACTACCTACTGCAAAAGCTTCAGGCATTTGTGTGTGTGTGTGTGTGTGAGTGTGTGAGAGAGAGAGAGAGAGAGAGAGAAGGAAGAGATATCAGGTTCACTCTATTTTGCCTCTATATGTTCAGTGTTGTGTCACTATCAAAGTCAGATAGGGAAATAATCTGGCACACTGTATTTAAATACACTATACCTGCTTCCTCTTTTAATCTGTAAATCAATATGACTGGATGTTTTTAAATAAAATAATTGAATGAAATTGTATCAAGTAGTTTTATGGACTAATTATTTGATATGTAAAGACTTATATTAACATTCAAAAGTTTTGGGTCAACAGTTTTTTTTTGTAAGAAATTAATACTTTTATTAAGCAAGGATGCATTGAATTTATGAAAAAGTGACGTTAAAGACGTTTATAATGGTAGAAAAGATTGTTTATCAAAGAATCCTGAAAAAAATGTTTTCCACAAAAATATTAAGCAGCGCAACTGTTTTGAACATTGATAAAAAGAAGGAATGTTTCTTGAGCACCAAATCATATTAGAATGATTTCTGAATGATGTGATGGCTGCTGAAAATTCAACTTTGCCAGAAATGAATGACTTTTTAAAATATATGAATACAGAAAATGGTTATTTTAAATGATAGTAATATTTCACAATAGTACTATTTTTACTGTATTTCTAATCAAATAAGTGCAGCCTTAAAAATCTTAAAAAGCATAAAAAATCTTGTTGACTAAACTTTTGAATAGTAGTGTAGGAAGACAGCAAGTCTGCACATGTCAAAAACTTTCTTACAAATGATGTGATAAAACAGTATAACATTGCTAGAAATGACTACATTTCAGAACTGAAGTAGGATGTTTATTAGGATAGAAATTTGAATCAAAATGCAAAACAAAAAAAATGTAATTCATTTGTATAAATTACAAATTGATAAATATTTTATATAAAATTGTCTTGGGGAAATGACAGGCAAAATAGACCTTTGAAGGTTTAAAGGGTGTATGTTTTGTTTAGTGAGGCAAAAATACATACAAGATGAATGATAAAATGAATAATAAAATAAATAAAATGAATGATTCAAGAAGCTGAGGCAAGATATGGAGATTGTGGAATCTGGAAGTCCATAGAAGTGTCCTCTGTTTTCAGGAGGAATAGAAAATGTCATGTCAGCCAGACAAAGTCACGGTCAGAGATGCTGATACATTTGTATTTCTTTAATGGGACAGGATGGTTTATCTGTGAGGGTCTGTAGCATCCACACAACTCTCAGCTGAATTAGTCAATGCTTGAAAAGTATTACTTTCACATGACTTTGGGATTTCTCATTCATTTATGGCCAAAAGCACACATACAGACTCATCAACACGTGACTTAAAATTCATGATTCATGCACAATGAAGTGTTACTCTATTTGCTGTGAATGTATTCTGTCCTTAATGAGCCACAATATGATCCTCTTGACTTTCAGCTAACATTTGATCTAATAGGCTAAACATTACAGAAAATGATAGTTAATGGCTTCGAAATTTGACATACAACAATCTCTCTGCTTACATATAATAGCCTGTATATAGGAAGGCACTGTAAAGTCATACATTCATCTGAACCAAACAAATGAAGGTAAAATGATTCTCATTTTCAGTTTGTTGATGAATCCCTGAGCCTTGAAATCTACAAGCTGACCTGAATCTTTGGCCAATTGAAAGCTTCCTTCCTTTACGTTAATGGCTCATTTAGGACTGTGACACAAGCTGTAGCCAAATCAGTCATCAAGTGAAGAAAGTGCCTTGTTTTCTAAAAAGGTTCTGAAGCCCCACCCTGGAGTGCTGAGGAAGAAAAGAATGAAGAGTTGAATGTGGCGCAGTGCATGCTGGGACCTCTGTTTCCTGAAGGGACTGCCAGACAGTTTCCCCACCACAAGGAAGTAAAGCCGACAAGCTGCCAGGCAACAACACCCTCATCACACCTATAAGATCAGGTATGTCTAAGGGGCTGGTTCACACGCTGCTTTTGAACAGAGTGTGGCAGTGGGGTTCCGGAAGTAAAAATCCCATTAATTTTTTTAAATTTTCCATTAAATTTTCTGCATAAGGGAATTGATTTTGAATTATAACTTCTAAACCTTTAAAGACAAACCTGCTGTGAGCTATGAGGTTGTTAATCAATGGGGTATGCTTCAGTTCAAACCATCAGCCCATATTATTTTTACTTATTTTTCAAATAATCATGTTCAAAGGTAGAATTCCTGGTGAAAAACTACGTTACCCATGATTCTGCAGCGAAATCCACCAATGAGAGAATTACAACAAGCAAATCACACTAAAAGAGCTCTCAGTGACTGCCCACTCCCATAAAGCACTGCAAATGACATGACTCTCAAACTATTTAAATATTTGTACATATATGCATATTTTGCAATAAACATAAAATGTTGTTTCTACGTATATACACAATCAGCATATTTAAATTTTAATTGAATATGAACATTTTGAATTCAATTTTCATTCACAATGCTTCATGGGATTGTAGTTCTTCACCCCATTAAAGCGAATATGTACATATTCTTGCACCATTTTTGTTTTTCAAATTTTCAAATACTTTTTTGCTTCAAATCAAAATTTGTACTGTTGCGATTCACCTCATAGCTAGTTGCTTTGCATGGCTTAAAACTCTTAAATTAAGACTTTTTTTATCCTTATGAGGGAAAAAAATCAATGCAAAAAAAAAAAAAAAAACTTTCAGAAGTAAGGCTTCTAATAAAAATGGGAAGGCATGGTTGCACTATATTGTTTCTGTTGTTACAAATTTTCACACAAGCAGTGCATTTTAAATGCAACTTTTAGCATCTCAAAACCCTGCTTTGTTTCCTTTACATTCAGCTGTGTCTTGAACGCAAGAACACATTCTGTGTGAACTACAATATTTATAGATAGTCACTAATTACACTAAAGGCCTGTCCTCAAGGACACCCCAGTCACAGAACAAATGCCTTGGGCATTATGATATTAGTACTAATAAATTCTCAGATAGTTTTTATTTTTTTATTTTTTTTTAAGTAAATACAAAAAGAAAAAACTTCATTAACCAATAGTATTAATAAGTTTCTAAACACTAAAAAGGAACTAGAACCCCTTTTCTCTGAAATGTGTTTAAGGGATTACTTCCTCTATACTGTTTTATGTGTTCTTAAGATACCAGAGGATGGTATCAAAATGTTTAGTGGTCTTATGAAATCCCAAAACACACTCTCTCCCCTTAAAATTCATCAGTAGGGATATCAGTACAGTGTAAAATCCTAATATTTTACTTAATCTTGTATTTCTCTAATTTCACAGATTAAGGCTGTGTTTCTTGGTCATTGCTTACTGAAAACCTATTTTTTTTCAAACATTCCATAACATTCCCACCATTTCTATGCATTCCTGTGTGTAATTCAATTAAAATGCCTCTATCCTCTCTGTATTTTCAGAGGAGTATACAGGGCTTCTTTTGAGCCACAGGTTGAGGACTGAGGAAGGCACGCACTGCGTCTGCAAACACGTCCTTGATGCCGTCCTGGCTGAGTGCCGAACACTCCAGGTACTTGACGGCGTGGATCTGGCGAGCCAGAGCCTGGCCCTGCTGGTGTGTGATGGGTGCCTGGTTCTGCTCCTTCAGCTTCTTCAGCACATCCGCATCGTTGCGAAGATCACTCTTGGTCCCCACCAGCAGGATGGGCACGCTGGGACAGTGGTGCGTCACCTCTGGGTGCCACTTGTGCTTGACGTTCTCATAGGACGGGGGGCTGGAGATGGAGAAGCAGATGATGAAGACATTGGTCTGAGGGTAGGACAGCGTGCGAAGGCGGTCGTACTCCTCCTGGCCTGCTGTGTCCCACAGATTGAGGCTGATGGTGCGGCCGTCCACAGTGACTTGGGAGCTGTAGTTGTCAAACACGGTGGGAATATACTCTTTGGGGAATGCGCCGGTCGTGTACGAGATGAGCAGGCAGGTTTTTCCGACTGCTCCGTCCCCCACCACCACACACTTGATGCTCTGCATGATAGAAAAGTGACTCGACTTCAGCAGTCTGCAAAGAAAGAGACATTGCTCTGTGTTAGAGGACAACATGGCACAATATATCAATAAAAGTTTTTTATTTTATATATATATATTTTTTTTTTACATTTATCGGTATTGGCCGATATTGGATGGTTAATTTAAGAATTAATCTTCAAAAACACAAATAATTAAATAACATTGTTTAATATCATCTTTAGCAAAACTCTAACTTAATATTACTATACAATATTATATAATACTATACAAATGTTTGGCACAAAAATTTGGTCCGAAAAAAGGAAGTAAAACAGTATTTGCATGTTTTTAAATAGCCATTCAGACTTTTGTATTCGATATGGTGTCAGATAACACCAAATGCAGAGAAACGAGAGCAGCTTATGGACAGTGTTAATGTAGTATAATTGAGATACTATTATAATTTTTTATATTTTGACATTTTTTATTTTTGTATTTTCCATTTTAATTTTAAAGTTTTAGTAATTTTCTTGAGTGCTTTTGTCATATTTATTTATGTATGTATTTTTTAACATATCTGTTTGTTTATTCACGTTAAAATCACACTAAATTTTTACACCACACATTAGTCTTGGTGTGATCAGGCCTTAAATGCACTTAAAATTGCATTTAAAACAATGATTTTAGTTTTAAGTGTTTTATTTGTAATTTATATAGGCAAAATACTATACTATACATTGTAATATGAACCATAACATGAAAATAATTACCAACATATTGGGCTTCAGCCATAATTTAACTTAATTTAATATCAGTGCACACAGTCCACATACATATTTTAAAAGTTGAGGATGTACAGTATGAATGGATCATTGGAAAGAAAGATTTACACACATGCAAAGAGAGGGACAAAAGAAAAAGATTAGCAAGGTTAACATTTGGGCTGTTATAAAACAATGTTTTGAATATACAGTCAGTCTCCCCCAGTTCCTTCTACTTCCCTTTGCAGTTTTATTGATAAGCTGTGTATATATCATAACACAAATGAATTCCCACTTGTAAATTAGGGGATTATTCACCTCCTCAGAAATGCAAAAAAACAAGAGCTTTTGTCCTCCTTTCTTTTCACTTTCCATTTGGGACATATTCAAAGGAAATATGACCAATTTGGGTCATACAAATGACTCAAATAGCTCTCTGTAGGAAATATGACACGCAGATTGAGATTTTCTAAAACATGTACGCTGGAAAATGTCAAAACAGGTGTGATTATGTTTCAGTTAATGCTGAAGACATTTCATGTCAGTAGGGGACAGATTCAATACACACATATCTGTAATTATTCAACATTTGTGAAAGTCTGTGCAAAGTCAGCATGGCTAATTGCTGTTTTTGCGGAAATGGAGCTGGAAAGTAGATTTACTGACCAGCTTTCCCCGTTACATCAGAGGCCAGTATAAAGTACTGTCAGCAAAGCACTTTCTAAAATCTTTCAACAGCTATTTGGGACTCTTTTTTGTGTTATTGTCTGTTAATAATTACAATTTTTGTTTCCTCAATAGTTTGATCATGATATTCAAGCCATCTTGCTTGTAGCAAATGTGAGAACGATTTGTGTTCTCGCACATCAACAAGAAACTGAGAGCTGCGGGGTTATGACCAGAAAAGCTCAGTTCGCTCTTTCTTTTTCACTTACTCCAAGAGTCTGGCAGATGTTTGACCCCAGGAGAAAGGAGTGAGACGGACTCTGCCCAATCTCCAGAGACGCTCAGAGAGAGAAATACTCCGAGCCCTGCCCTCCTCTGCAAGGCGTTAGCCAATGTGGTTAGTGAACCAAGAGCTCAAAGAAACAGCACTGACAGCTCAGTCTGGGTGGAGTCTGTCCTGTCACTTCCAGCACAGCTTTGTCATATCACAATACTGATGTTTAGCAGCAGAACTGCTCAGTGTTGTATAAAATAGATAAAAACAAGTGCTATAGATTAGAATTGCATTGACATTTTTTACTGCGGCATTGTAGTTTTACTGTGTTCAACTCATACTTGGAGTAGTTTTTAATTCGTTGTAGATAGGCTATTCAGGATTGGGCGACTAAATATAATATTTTAAGATTCAACCATCGGAAAACCCGTGATGGTTGATGAATAATCCACATATTGTCTAGAGTGGTTATGGCCCTTGTTTAAATATCATTTTTGATTTTATCACTGAGCCAAATGATGCAAATCATGTATAAGCCAACAGAGGAACAGACAGTTCTAATGGCTTCTAGTTTTTAGCAGCAAAAGGAGAACTTACACTAGATTGCAAAGTATACAGAAAGGAATCAAAACTAGAAGTGGTCAGTTACATTTATTCATTCCTTACACTCTATCCTGAATCTAGAATTTCTTTCATCATGAAACTGAAACTAAAGCGTTACTGTCAGATGGATTGTAATTGCACACTATTTCCTCCACTCAAGCAGGTGAAAATGAGAAAAAAAAAACTGATCATCGGAACTGTCGTAGCGACAGACAATTTATGACACAACAAGTCACCATCTTTCCAGTGACTCACCGCAGAAAAGTGTGCCTCAGTAAGCCCTTGTGTCATTCAAGATATTCAGCTGTTTTGTAATGGTATTTTCACATTAGGAAGTTAACAATAACGGCTCTGAGTGTAGAAGATCCTCTCACAGATGTGCTATAATCTTGGCTAACTAGAATGAACGTGGTAGGTTAGTAAAATATGCTAAAGCAAATATTACTTCTCAAATGGAAGTTGCTATTTGATTCGGAAATAGATAAGTATCCCAACTTCTGCATGGCTCTGTTAGATTTTAAAAATTAGGGTGTTTCTCAGTTCCTCATTCCCTCTGGAAAACCCAACTGCCTTTTTTTCTTTTTCTCCAAATTTGCATAATTTCCCATTCATTTTCTCAAAGAACTGTACTAGCCTATGTTTCAACATGCACAACCAACATTTCACAGAAAGGTCTTCACACCAAGAGGTTACGTTTTGTGATAATATATATATATGCCTAATGTACATTCAAATTCATTTTTGTTTCCATACATATAATTTGTCACAGTAATTCGTCCTTTGTACTCTGCTTTATGTGTTTTCAGAGTTTCTCGTCAGTAGCCTACTTAAATTCAAAGTGGTCAAAAGTGCCGTGGGCACGGCACTGGAGGTCGCAACTAGCTAGAAGTTTGGCATCATTATGAAATCAGTTAAAGACAACGGTACCTGTCAATAGGCTACTCTTAATTAGCCTACAGTGCTTTACAGTGGATGCTTGTTATTCTATGGGAGTGGTCCCTTTTCCTGCTCTGATTTAAAAACTCAAACCGCTGCTTATTCATCAAGCCGCGGTCGAAAGCGAGAACATTACAGCAAATTTAGAAAAATCTCACACGTTCCAAATTATAAATCTGCCTCTGCGCAACTTCTCTTCGAGAAACCAAGTCAGAAATGAATAAACACCGATAAATGTAGTCTAACAAACTGTAAGCTATCACAGGACTACATACAATCATTAAACAACATAGGCTATTTTACCAAACATATCAGATGCTCTTGAGGACCGTAATCCCGCTGCTGTGGAAGTTAGTTGAAGTCTGTAGGACGTGAGTGAGTTCACCCCTCAGAGAGGAAGTTACTGGCTTAACTGCATGTTTGAGGAAGTTTACCGAAGTAAATGTGTCTGCCAATGTTTAAGAGGGCGTAACAGTCTGTCTACACTGCAAGCGCGCGCTCTCACTTTAATCAAGTTCACTCGCGTGCACTGTCCTGCTTCGTTCTGGTTTTGTCGCGTCGTGTTGTTAGTTCGCAATGTAGAACATATGCATCACAGGGAAATCCCGTATCAGCACAACCGCAAACTCATGTTGAAACTACCTGAACTAAAGAGGAGCCGTGAGAATATCGACATGAATCATTCACAGAGCCGTGGGTTTTGCTCACCCTTGCAAAATAGATAACATGCTTATCATATTTTCCACCAAATCCACTAATATAAATCCTTAAATGAATAAAATCTGTTTTCATCTATTGGCCCATATTCGTTATAGCTTTCTTCTTTTGTGGAGAACAAAAATAGAAGTTTCCAATAATGTTCAGGTTGCTCTCTCATACTATGAAAGTGAATGGGGAATGTGGCTGTGATAAGTTTAAATAAATAAAAACACATTGACTTTGGGCTGTAGCCCATGTAAACGTTGTTTTTGCTGTATGAAAAAAATTGAAAGATAGGCATGAGTAGTCTAAATAATGGCAATTTTTATTTGATTGAAACTTTGACCATTTATATGGAATATCATGCAATGTTAAATGCTTTCAAACAGACAGACAGATAGATAGAGATCATCTCAGTACTGTGCTAAATTGATGCATCAACATATTTTTGACACATCAAACTATGTACTGATAAACAGACGAAAACTGGGAGGGGTTTCTTCATTTTTAGCTGCATGGTTGAGTATCATGCCACTAGATGGCTGTGTCTTTCTGCTTTTAGAGAACAAACCTCAAACCCTGAGAATTTATATCCTAAGAAACGATTTGCTTTACCATTAGACAACCTCCAAAAGCAACACGAGGGGTTTTGGATAACTCCGAAAAGAGGACTTTAAAACCATGTAATGAACCTCGAAATTCAATTTATAAATCCGGGACATACTTCTGTGTCATACATTTGGAAAACAACTCTTTTTCATTTTGGACGTTTTGTTCGAAACGCGTATGAACACCAGTGATGGACATATTTTTGACTATATTTTATGTTCTTGACATGGGCGGGTTATTGCGCAGACTATGGGGGATGTGGAGAATGCATGTCGAACATCTTTGAAGTATTGTTTCAAATTATTGGACCATTTTGACAACATTTTTGCAGCGGAGTTAAAACAACATCCCGCTGATTAGAATAACATCCTACAGCTATCGGTTGCCTAATGGATCTCAGTCAGATCAAATGAAACTGTTACATCTGATTTGTCAAGAGCGACTCCAGCAATTTGCAGCCTTCGGATTTTAACAGGTAATCTGATATTTTCAAATCAATAACATTATGAGTCGGAGGCTACATGTGCATTTGCATCATGACGACAACTCTAAAACAGAGCTCGTGCTACTTTTGCTTATGTCCTTTCGTATGCTATCTGATATGAGCCAAGTGGCAATATACACAAAGGCGGAACTTGATCATACCACCAAAAGAGGCATATTTGCCGCTATTTTTATAGTAAGATGAATTTGATTATCCGGCATCTGAGTAAGTTTGCCAAATATGTAAATATATCAAAACGATTGTGAAATGCCACGCGTCACTGGACTGAAGCGTGCAGCTACATCTGGAGGTTTTTTTCATGTACGTACACTTCAACTATAACCCATATGGATATGGCATCATGCGTTAATAAACAAATACGTTTCTAAGGTTTATGATACTTGTACTTATTTTTATTATTAGCCTATTATCAATACATAATCCAGCAGTGACTAGGATCTTTTTCATTTTCGCTAGTGACTTTTCACCAGACATTATATATTCCAATAGTGTAGGCCCATCTATAAAAAAATATTGCTGGTTGTTCCAGTTCCAGTTTACTAGTTTGGTATTAGTATGTATTCCTTAGTTATTTGTAACCATTCAAAAAGGCGCTAGTATGTATTTTAGTTTTACAGGCATTCATGGAATACATAGTAGTAGTCCTAATTTAGGTTTACTAGTTGGTTTTTTAATTAAACTGATTCTAACTAAAACAACTGTAACTAGTGATAATAAGAAATTTTACCAGTAATACCTGGGACACCCATAAATAGATACTATAACTGTAGGGTCTACTTCTACTAGTAGAACTAGTTGATTCAATTCAATACAAAAGTAAATTGTCACTACTGGGATAGTGATTAGTAGCAAAATATTAATTATTAGTGACAAATCACTATTTGAAGAAGTACTGGCATACACACTACTGAAACTGAAACAATTTGCTTTTGGATTACTTACTAGCAAGTAAAAATAAATACCAGTAAACTACAAATAGGTGTGACATTAATGAATGTTAAAAAGATTAGCTGTAATACTCAACAATGTGTTTATGTCATAATAGTATATATGTGAGTGAATGTTTCGTTATTTCTCATTGCCAGATTAGTACTTTTCTTTTAAATGTTTTCTTTCTATTTTAAGTTTAGCATGGATCTTTTGAGATTTGCCAGACATTGTATGTACATTGCATGGCTTGGCTTCTTATGGAGGAGTGCAGCAGATCAGCCCAGCCTGACAGACCACCTGCAGTCTGCCAATGGACTATCTGGTAGGAAATCATCATTCAGTTGAATCAGTTATTTCTCATGTTTTATGTGTCTGTATAGTGTGAATTTTGTGTTACATAATCCCAGTAGGACTGTTTGTTGTAGAGAGAAATGTCCCACTCTTAGAAATGGTATATGATATACACCGTTCTCATATGCGCTGCTAGATAAGATAAAGCGCTTCCCTTGTCTAGTCAGAGCCTCATGGGTGATGATGTCAAACCAATCTTTCACAATCCATATGCTACACTTATATGTGCTGACCAAGAATTAAAAGAATTCACCTGACAAAATTACGTGTCAGGACACTGGAATTAAAGGAATAGTTCACCCAAAAATAAGAAATTGTTGAAAATGTACTCACCCTCAGGCCATCCAAGATGTAGATGAGTTTGTTAATTCATCAGAACAGATTTGGAGAAATTTAGCATTACATCACTTGCTCACCAATGAGTCCTCTGCAGTGTATGGTGCCATCAGAATAAGGATCTAAACAGCTGATAAAAGCATTTCAATAATCCAAAAGTAATCCACATGAGTCCAGTCCATCAATTAACATATTTTGAAGCAAAATGTGTGTTTTATAATAAACTAATGTATTGTTTTTAACTTGATTTCACATAAAATACAAGTCCTCTATCCATAATAGTTTTCTCCATTGAAAAAGTTGCCTCGTCTAAATCAGGAGAGAAATATGCACAGATCAAGCAGCATTTACAAGCCAAAACCGTTCTAAGCAAATATGTCAATGTATTTTGATGTGAGAGGAAAACGGGATGGACTTTTTCACTGGAGGAAGCATTATTATGGACCGTTATTAAAATGTTTTAATGATTATATTTGTTTCTTACTAACACACACCTTTTCAGTTTACAAGATGTTAATTGATGGACTGGAGTTGTGTGGATTACTTGTGGATTATTGAGATGTTTTTATCAGCTGTTTGGACTCTCATTCTGACGGCACCCATTCACTGCAGAGGATCCATTGGTGAGCAAGTGATGTAATGCAAAATTTCTCCAAATCTGTTCTGATGAAGAAACAAACTCATCTACTGCTTGGATGGTCAGAGGGTGAGTTTCAGCAAATTTTCATTTTTGGGTGAACTATTCCTTTAACTATTCCGGAAGTTGCGACCGACTTTAATTCCGTATTGTGAAGTACTTCCAAGAGAAATGGAATATTGAATGAGAAAAACAGAGGGCGTGGCTTGTTTTGTTCGACTGCGAACTGATTGGATGTAGTAAAGTAGGCGTTTCATTCGGAAATGGAGGAAGTTTTAGAGGGGCATGTTTAAGGATGTTATGCTCAAACCCAAGCCGCCAAACTGACGTCATCAGGCAAAGTCCGTCATTTCAGAGGGGAGGTGCATTTTCAGATTTGGATGAAAGATTACGAAGGCAAACATTTTTTTTTTTTGTGGATTGACTTGCACAGATGAATTGTTCACCACAAAAATAGCAGTGTGCTCTAACAAAACAAATATAGTCAATTCTGATTTCATGTGTACTTTAAGGAGAATTAACTATCAGATACAGGAGGTTTAGTTTAGCCAATGCACGGAGCAACATAAATGCATCCCATGAGGCAAGACTGCTGGAATATGTCACACTCGCAAGTTTTGTTGTCCATCAAAGTGTCATTTGTGCTTTGACACTAATATTCAGTTTCGACTTAACAAACTGATCCTCGTCCTGTCATGCACTTTCACAAGCAGGCAGGTTGTAGTACAGTCAAATCTCTTGAAAGAATAAAATGTAGACCTGGTGAAAAGATTGGAAAAAGAAACTCTTATATATTAAACAGTGGCATTAACATTTATTTTATCTTGCTATTTTACTCTTCCAAACTTCAACTCCTTTCTACCCTCATTGCTCAGAAAAGATGAATAAATCCTTTGGCTTTCTGAAAACTGTAATTTTAGCTGCCAGTCTTGTGTGCAGTGACCTTTGGGGTCAGTTTTCAATGGTCAGTTAGTTGAATTAAGTGGGTTTTTCATGGTCTTGACTTTGGGAATCACTCAAATTTTCCAGAAGGGTTCTGTCTGTTCCTGATTTCTGACACTTCACAGGAGAGACCAATGGACTGGAGGGTTACTGACGTTTTCTGTTACTATTTCTGTTGTTCTAGTTATTAGTTTGTAGTAAGTCACTTGGATAAATATTGTAATCAAGCTGCCTTTAAAGTGGTTTCAGAGGTCATCATCCATTTTCCCAGGCCCTCTGCCTCACTGGTGTTAATTAAAAATGGGCATCTCTTCCGTCTTTGAGATGGATCTCTTTGCATGTATCTGGAAAAGGCTCTAAATTGCATGTATTAGGTCCAGGGCTGTGTTGACTTTATCCAACTGTTTTAGAAAAGGACTTAGCATCTCAGCTGCTGGTGGAATGCATTCCCCAGAACATTTCTCCTTTTATAGGAAATGGTGGGAACAATTAGATTTTCAGTGTTATCTCCCTTTAGGGTTGAGAGCTGAAAAGTTGGACCACTATGGAGATTGTTTTATTGGAATGCAAAATGGCATGTTACATTTGATATTCCGGGTTCAATACAAGCTCATTCTGAGCATTTGGGCACAGTGTCACAAGTACAGAAGGAGAAGACTCAGAGGTAATGTCAACAACAAAATCGTTATTTGCAGGTATTTCAGAGAAGCAGCATAGTAAACAGGTGAGTATATAATTCAATGACGATAGATAGCACTTAGCTTGAGCATAAACTGTTCTTTGTTTGTTGCAGGTGTGCGGTGAAGGCTTAGTGAAGACTAGAACTGAAGACTGACTGAAAACAGGTAAGTATCCAAGGAAGTAGCCAGGTAAGTCCTCATACGTGGAGAGACCAGACAAGACCAGGAAGTGGAGAGTAACTGCTCTTATACAGGGCTTGATGAGATCATCTATGGCAGGTGTGGTGATGGCTGAGTGAGTGCAGGTGTTGGCCAGAAGGGATGCTGGGAAATGTAGTTCCCAGTGGACTGGGCTGGTGACTGAGGATAGTGAATGGACTGGTGACTATGATAGAGGATAGTGAATGGACTGGTGACTGGGGATTGTGACGGGACCGTGAGGAGGATCAGCTGAGTGACGAGCATCTGGAGGGCCGGCTGAGTCACGGGAGTCTGGAGGGCTGGCTGAGAGATGGACGTCTGAAGGGCTGGCTAAGAGACGGGCATCTGGAGGGCTGGCCGAGAGACGGGTGTCTGGAGGGCTGGTCTCGACAGACAGGAGATAGGAGAACAGGAGATTCCGTTGGCTGCTGTGGCTGGGGCACAAAAGAAAGGCAAACTGGAGATTCCATTGGCCACCTTTGCCAGGACACAGAAGACAGGCAAACTGCAAATTCCATTGCCCACCCCACCATGGCCGGGACACAGGATACAGGAGAACAGGAGATTCTGTCGGCAGCCATGGCCACTTCTCCATAACCGAGTAACCCGAGGTTGCCTTCTTGGGTCACCGACTGATAGACCGAAGACTCAGGAACAACCTCCATGGTCGTATAAGGACAAACAGGCAATTTGGGAGCTAACACCTCTACTTCGCTACGAGTGGTAGGGCAGTGTGCGGCCCAAACACACAGTATGGCTACTGTCGTAACCGGGAGAACAATCCGTGACAGAAGGGATTCTGAATCCTCCAGGCTGGGAACAATCTGACTGGGTACTGGCCTGTAGGCTATGACCTCAGGAGACTCTGGTCTAGCACTCATGATTGCTGGAGATTCTGACTTGGTTCCCCTGTTAATTGAGGTTTCTGGCAGTTGAAAGTTTACTAGGCTGAGCTTTGGGATGAGAGCAGGCACTGGGCTGTGCTCAGGGACAAGAGCGGGCACTGGGCTGAACTCGGGGACGAGAGCAGGCACAGAACTAGGGATAAGGGCTGGGGCCATCACTGGAATCTGGTCAGGGGCTGGAGCCATCACTGGACTCTGGTCAGGGGCCGGAGCCCTGTGCTCTGGAGTGGCTTTACGGTCTGGAAGGAATTCTCGTACGGACTCAAGGACTGGACTTAAAGGGATAGTTCATCCAAAAATGAAAATTGTATGTTTATCTGCTTATACGACTGATAGACTGCAACGGTTGGACTTAAAAATCATAATTTGTGTTCTACTGAAGAAACAAAGTCACCTACATCTTGGATGCCCTGGGGGTAAGCAGATAAACATCAAATTTTCATTTTTGGATGAACTATCCCTTTAAATGGTGAGTTATTACAAAGGCACGAGCGGGCTCTGATGCCAATTCAGGGATTAGAATGGGCTCCCATGTAGATTTAGAGAGAGTAATGGCCTTGACATTAACTTCTGGGGCCGGAACGGGCTCGATACAGATCACTAAGCCTGGAGTGGACACGTTACTGAACTCCGGGAATGGAGCCATCTCTGTACTGTGCTCCTTGGCTGGAGCTGACACTGGAGCGGACTCAGGGGCTGGAGCCAACACTGGAGTGGACTCAGGGTCAGGGGTTAGAACCACTGAGGACCATCTCTTCTTCCTCAGCCTCAGCCTATGGGCTGAGGTTAACTGGCATCTTTGCCTGAGCTCTGGGGATTTTCAGGCTCTGGTGGCCTGGAGTAGAAATATGAAAAGCCATGGAATAGGTAAGGTTATACTTATTAGAAGTGGACAAACCTGGAATGACTGAACTGGGTTTCCTGGCCCTTCAAACAGACATGATAGGAAGATCCCTCAATTTTATCAGATTCATTGGGGCTGCTTCCTTGGTTTTTGTTTCTTGGTTCCTGCTTCCACAAGGACCGCATATGGGGAGCCACATAGCCACAGTACAATATCTAATTACCGTTCAAGTGTGATGCCAGAATCTACGACCGGTATCCATGTAGAGAGAGTCTTATCTAGTTCACTCCAAAAGAAATCCATTAGGACTCTGTCATCCCACGAAGTTAAATGACAATACTGCAGGAATTCCTCCACATATCCTTCTATACTGCGGCCATTTTGGTAAATGGAATGCAGAATATCCTCTGTGGTGACTGCCACTGAAATCATGTTCTGTTCAGTACAGAAGGAGAAGATTCAATGGTAACATCAACAACAAAGTCTTTATTCACAGGTATTTCAGAGAAGCAGCATGGTAAACAGGTGAGTTTATAAATCAATGAAGATAGCACTTAGCTTGAGCATAAACAGTTCTTTGTTTGTTGCAGGTGCTGGCAGATGAAGGCTTAGTGAAGACTGAAACTGAAGACAGGTAAGTATCCAAGGAAGTAGCCAGGTAAGTCCTCATACGTGGAGAGACCAGACCAGACCAGGATGAAGTGAAGAGTAACTGCTCTTATACAGGGCTTGATGGGTTCGTCTATGGAAGGTGTGGTGATGGCTGACTGAGTGCAGGAGTTGACCAGAAGGGATGCTGGGAAATGTAGTTCCCAGTGGACTGGGCTGGTGACTGAACATAGTGAATGGACTGGTGACTGGGGATTGTGACAATAATGTAGATTACCACACAAATAATTTAGTCTTGACTCTTCTTTTCTGAAATTGGGGAGTTTTGAAGGATTTAAAAGCAGAAATGTGAAGAAATTAGAAGAATTTTATAAAAGCACTTACATTAAAGGTTTCTGTTAAAATATCAGTATTATTGGAGCTGTAAAGCTGTTTGAAAAAGATGTTTCTGTCATTTTAGGGTTTAGTGTTGTGTTATCATGACGGTTGACTTGGTATATAATGTCATTTTACACAGAAAAGGTTAATAAGCCATTTTTTCACACCTATTGTCTACATCTTGTGGCTATTCTAATGAAACTGAGCATTTTAACATTTATGACATTATTATTCAATACCATTGTAAACTGAATTTTTTAGTTTTTAAAGCAATGCAGGTATGAGTCAAAATTAATTTTTGTGGTAATCAACATTGTCGATTGATCTTAACATTTATTGAACCCAGATTATTCTACGTATTATTCTATCTTATTCTAGATAGTGTACATTGTGTAAATTACCCATCTGATCATGGCCTGTGTGTGACTTCATGCAGCGATATTAAAGGGTCTTTTTACAACAGCTTTGTAAATCCTCAAGGCAGATGTAGATGCAGAACTCTGACGGTCCTCTCAGATCTTTTTAAAGGTCCCCGCCATCCAGTGAAGCAGACCAAACATCCCTCCATTTTTTCCTCCCCTCTCCTTATCCTAGGCCTCTCCGTTTTTCTCATTCTCCTACCAATAATGCTCCAGCCAGAGATACAGGAAAAGAAATGGCGGAAATTGATTGTTTTAAACGAGACATTCGTTGCCTCTGTGGGATTTTATCACATGCTAACAGCAGCTTGCTTCAGTGTGTCCTGGCTGTTTAAGGGACAGTTCACTCAAAAATGAATTTCTGTCATAATTTACTCACCTCATGTCATTCCAAATCTACACGACTTTCAATATAAATGAGTAAATCTCATTAAAACAAAAAATTAGGGCAAAAAATTGCATTTATTTAAAACTTAATGTATTCAGTCTTTGTTATTCTTGTGTCTCTATGAATTACTAGAGCTAAAACTGAAAAGATCCAAATAACCTCTAGTAAAAACTCCAGAATTTTGACCTTACTGGCTTTCTGTAGTCCAACGCACATTGTACACTGATGTTTAATGTCACTGAACGAGTGGTTATTGCGTTTGTTTAGAAGTTAGTAGGTTGTTATAGTGTTTGCCTCTGAGGCAAAAAATAGTTTCTGGATTTGCTCGAGTTTGTACATTTCATGACAACATGGTTTAAAAATAAAGTTTTGCAAAATCTGCAAGTAGCCAGGTTTGTGTCTTAAAGTTGGCCCAGATGAAGCTACAGGAAATACTTTGCAAATACACCTATTGTGTTCCACATAAGAGTTTGTGATGACAGAAATGATAACAGAACTTTATGGGGAGTAAACTATCTGAATCCGGCTGTATGTCAGATGATATCTTAAGTGAATCGGGTGGAGGGAATGCATACAGGGAATTCAAGAAAAATATGTGAGGAAATTCCTGAGACCCTCTTTGTTGTTTTTTTTCTAATGCATGTCAAATGCCTCTTTCTCAGTTAAAATCAATGGCAAAATCTGTCTGTCTTGCTTCTTAAATTGGTAAATCTATGCCATTAACTTTACTTGTACCCGGTTGAGTTGCTAATGTGACTGCTTGATCCATGTCTGGTTAGCTCAGTTTAGTTAGCAAGCTAAACTGGATGTGGTGTCAACATTTGCAAACAGTTCTCTCAGAGTCATTATGTTTCTTAATAATGCAGAAACTCAGTGAGTGCTAATAATGAGTTTGTGTGATGACAAGTGTTTTTTTGAAGTTTGAGTTGTGGTCGTGGCATGTTTGTTTAGTGGTTTTGCACAGACACTATCTTTCACCTTCTGTGAAATGGGGACAAAAATAGCTGTGCAGATCTTATGACCTTAAAAGTTTATTTTATCAAAACGGATCAGCCTGAAAGAACACAGTCCGCTCATGGACAGTTCACTGATTTGATGGCATCACTGACTGAATCATCAATGAACTGACTTTAGCTGGAAAAAATGACTCTTTGTTATTGTCCTCTTGCATTATTGACAATTTATTTTCCTGTTTGACATTGTAAAGGTGACTTGACTTGACTAGTAACATAAGCATTTTTAATTACATCCACACTTAGTTATAAAATGTCAGCTGATCCCAGTTTTAAAAAAAGCTTGAAACCGTTGATTTCTTATGTTAATACCTGCTCAATAATTAAGTCTTTTAATTCTTTGAGACAAAGGTTAACTCCAGGACATCCACTCCTGCCTACCGCCATATTACAGCAATATCTACAATACCTCAGCAGCTGTGCTGTGTCTCCATCTATAAATAGTTTAAATGTCACTCTATGGCTCTTACGTGGATTTGTTACCAACCATATGAGCGTCACCCTCAAACTGAACTCTCCTGTTACAATGGGCTCAAACATTGGACCCTTACAAAGGCACCGCTGTTGGTTCAGTTTTTAGCTGTACATCATTACTAGTGATAAGTTGCTCATCCTTGCTTAGTTTCCAAACTCTAACCAGATAGCACACGTACGTCTGCAAGTTGTCTATTAAAGATCTCTTCATCTGGAAAGCATGTGCTGTGTACAAACATCTGAAAAGGTTTCTGTTAAAATATCAGTATTATTGGAGCTGTAAAGCTGTTTGAAAAAGATGTTTCTGTCATTTTAGGGTTTAGTGTTGTGTTATCATGACGGTTGACTTGGTATATAATGTCATTTTACACAGAAAAGGTTAATAAGCCATTTTTTCACACCTATTGTCTACATCTTGTGGCTATTCTAATGAAACTGAGCATTTTAACATTTATGACATTATTATTCAATACCATTGTAAACTGAATTTTTTAGTTTTTAAAGCAATGCAGGTATGAGTCAAAATTAATTTTTGTGGTAATCAACATTGTCGATTGATCTTAACATTTATTGAACCCAGATTATTCTACGTATTATTCTATCTTATTCTAGATAGTGTACATTGTGTAAATTACCCATCTGATCATGGCCTGTGTGTGACTTCATGCAGCGATATTAAAGGGTCTTTTTACAACAGCTTTGTAAATCCTCAAGGCAGATGTAGATGCAGAACTCTGACGGTCCTCTCAGATCTTTTTAAAGGTCCCCGCCATCCAGTGAAGCAGACCAAACATCCCTCCATTTTTTCCTCCCCTCTCCTTATCCTAGGCCTCTCCGTTTTTCTCATTCTCCTACCAATAATGCTCCAGCCAGAGATACAGGAAAAGAAATGGCGGAAATTGATTGTTTTAAACGAGACATTCGTTGCCTCTGTGGGATTTTATCACATGCTAACAGCAGCTTGCTTCAGTGTGTCCTGGCTGTTTAAGGGACAGTTCACTCAAAAATGAATTTCTGTCATAATTTACTCACCTCATGTCATTCCAAATCTACACGACTTTCAATATAAATGAGTAAATCTCATTAAAACAAAAAATTAGGGCAAAAAATTGCATTTATTTAAAACTTAATGTATTCAGTCTTTGTTATTCTTGTGTCTCTATGAATTACTAGAGCTAAAACTGAAAAGATCCAAATAACCTCTAGTAAAAACTCCAGAATTTTGACCTTACTGGCTTTCTGTAGTCCAACGCACATTGTACACTGATGTTTAATGTCACTGAACGAGTGGTTATTGCGTTTGTTTAGAAGTTAGTAGGTTGTTATAGTGTTTGCCTCTGAGGCAAAAAATAGTTTCTGGATTTGCTCGAGTTTGTACATTTCATGACAACATGGTTTAAAAATAAAGTTTTGCAAAATCTGCAAGTAGCCAGGTTTGTGTCTTAAAGTTGGCCCAGATGAAGCTACAGGAAATACTTTGCAAATACACCTATTGTGTTCCACATAAGAGTTTGTGATGACAGAAATGATAACAGAACTTTATGGGGAGTAAACTATCTGAATCCGGCTGTATGTCAGATGATATCTTAAGTGAATCGGGTGGAGGGAATGCATACAGGGAATTCAAGAAAAATATGTGAGGAAATTCCTGAGACCCTCTTTGTTGTTTTTTTTCTAATGCATGTCAAATGCCTCTTTCTCAGTTAAAATCAATGGCAAAATCTGTCTGTCTTGCTTCTTAAATTGGTAAATCTATGCCATTAACTTTACTTGTACCCGGTTGAGTTGCTAATGTGACTGCTTGATCCATGTCTGGTTAGCTCAGTTTAGTTAGCAAGCTAAACTGGATGTGGTGTCAACATTTGCAAACAGTTCTCTCAGAGTCATTATGTTTCTTAATAATGCAGAAACTCAGTGAGTGCTAATAATGAGTTTGTGTGATGACAAGTGTTTTTTTGAAGTTTGAGTTGTGGTCGTGGCATGTTTGTTTAGTGGTTTTGCACAGACACTATCTTTCACCTTCTGTGAAATGGGGACAAAAATAGCTGTGCAGATCTTATGACCTTAAAAGTTTATTTTATCAAAACGGATCAGCCTGAAAGAACACAGTCCGCTCATGGACAGTTCACTGATTTGATGGCATCACTGACTGAATCATCAATGAACTGACTTTAGCTGGAAAAAATGACTCTTTGTTATTGTCCTCTTGCATTATTGACAATTTATTTTCCTTGTAAAGGTGGTAAAGGTGACTTGACTTGACTAGTAACATAAGCATTTTTAATTACATCCACACTTAGTTCAGCTGATCCAGCTGATCCCAGTTTTAAAAAAAGCTTGAAACCGTTGATTTCTTATGTTAATACCTGCTCAATAATTAAGTCTTTTAATTCTTTGAGACAAAGGTTAACTCCAGGACATCCACTCCTGCCTACCGCCATATTACAGCAATATCTACAATACCTCAGCAGCTGTGCTGTGTCTCCATCTATAAATAGTTTAAATGTCACTCTATGGCTCTTACGTGGATTTGTTACCAACCATATGAGCGTCACCCTCAAACTGAACTCTCCTGTTACAATGGGCTCAAACATTGGACCCTTACAAAGGCACCGCTGTTGGTTCAGTTTTTAGCTGTACATCATTACTAGTGATAAGTTGCTCATCCTTGCTTAGTTTCCAAACTCTAACCAGATAGCACACGTACGTCTGCAAGTTGTCTATTAAAGATCTCTTCATCTGGAAAGCATGTGCTGTGTACAAACATCTGATAGACATCTATAAGATGTCAGTTTTACATACATTCTAAATCATAAACATCTTAAAGACATATTCTAAACATCTATTTGACATCTGATAGGAAATGTCCTATAGACATATTGCAGATGAGCAAACGCTCTAAAAAATACATCTTGTAAATGCAGATGTCAAATAGATGTCTCCTTGATGTACGTGCACTATCAGGGTTTAGACGAGTATGGTTGGCATTTTTTGCTAGTGAAATGAAAATGAAGAGACCGTTTTTAATGAAGTTGAATTTGATTTAAACATCTCCCATGGATGATGCATGAATTTCACTGAGAGGACTAAATGAAAAGTCATTTTCATTTCAAGGCCTTTTGTGCTTTTGAAGAAGGCTTTTAACTTGGCTTTTTTGTGCAGTTATAATAGATACAGTAAGACACTCCAGATTTTTTTTTAGTAATTGTATGTGCTTAACAAGCATGTTTTCCCTGAATGCATTGCAGTGGGATGGTGCATATTAGCTGTGTTGCAAAACACAGTGAACTGTCTGCAATTAATTTCGGTAGCATTTGTTGTTAACATCTTGTTAAGCTAACAGTGTAATACTTCAGTAGATTTCAATGACCAGGTTCCAAAATTAAAAACTATATATTTAGACTTTTCCAAAATCCCTATGGGAAAAATACCAAGGCTGCCAAGGCTGAAAAAGATGGTGGAACGTAAACATGAACATATGTGGATTAAAATATACAATAATTACACTGAACTGCTTTATGTAATTTTAAATAAAATATAAGTGTATTTGTTCTAATAAATGCATTTCTGTTACCTTGTCTGCCATCTTGGATGTTTTTTTTTAATTCCACTATGCTTGGCTTAATGAATTCTGAGATTGGGTTATATGAATACATGCAATGCTGCCATAGAGTTTGGCCAAAATTATATATCTTATATATATAGGTATATATAATATAACTATATCAGTTAATATGGCTACCTTGTGGTACATTGGTCACGTTGAATGCTTGCTTAAAATTATCCTTCTGTTAGCTTACTAGGTTTTGTAACATAACAATTGTGTAGTTCAAGTGGACTTGCTTTCTCATATCTCTTATGTATATATTTTTTCTCTCTTCAGAACTGTGTGGTATCGATGAGCTTCTTTGTCATGATGAAAATGCTCTGTTAAGTTTCGAGGCCATCCGCAACATTCACAAAGACATGGATGATGATGCAGACGGCAGCGTGGATGTGACAGAGACGGATGGGGTGAGGGCTGCAGCGTTTGTGTGTGGTTTTGTGGTCTGCTGTGTTGAGAGGTTGACGTTGCAGCACAGTGCATGGTGCCCAATGTACAAACAAGTTCTTGCTTGAAAGGACACAGTGGCTTTTGGCTTGCTTACTAGAGACACAGGTCTCTGTAATATGTATTGTCATAAGTGCTTTACAAATACAAATTACCTTGACTTGACAGTACAACAGTGCAGCACAGCGAAGTAAAACATATACTGTATTGGCTTACAGTGTACAGCTGTACTGGTACAAGTCTGAGTGTGTTGCAAAGCTTTTGCAGAGATGAGGAATGCAATTTACAATATGTTGTTATTGGGTTTTTTCGTTGGTCATATCTTTCAACTGTGATTTTTCTCATGATAAACTACATTCTTCAGTGAGGTGCAGATATATAAATATTAAATATGTCTTTGTATTATAAAATTATCCTTTTAATCATAAATGTAGAGATTGAAACTTTTTTTTTAAACAAATGAATACTAAAGATAGTAAATTAATACTAAAAAGCTCAGTTTTTACATCTTTTTCATCTTCAAATGTTTCTTGAGCTGCAAATCAGCATATTAGAATGATTTCTGATGGATTATTGTTTACTTCTGATATAATAAATTAAGCCTTTTTTCTAAGACTACAAACTCTTTGTTTTTTTGGAAATTCAAAATCCATTTCTGAATCTGCTTGTCCCCATCAGTTTGAATGGGCATTACACTTTTGCAGTGCAATCAAAAGTGATTCACCATGATTATGGTTTATGAACATAGGCTATAAAAAGCACTCTGTATTCTCTTTGAATCACCCAAAGCAATTCCTTTTTCATGAGAATGCCACATCTGAGCACTCTGAGTAAACAGTATTACTGCTGACCGACAGCAGCCTGCCCAAGGCCATAGACAGTCCTGTAAGTGTAGCCTTTACCAGAGTCAGAGCTGATCTGAGGGATTGTGACGCGACTGGACCCAGTGAAACTGTCAGCATTTACATACTGTATGCTGTCTGAGGCTCTACAGTAGATCTACTGGATTACAACAACCCAAGATCAATATTACAAGTTAATCAAGTGTTTGCTGTGTGGCTTTATGTCTCTTGCCAAATGTTGAAGTATGCAAATACACAGTGCTAAAAAAAATTAATTCCTTCGAGAAGCACAAATAACGTTCTGGGATAGAAAACGAATAAGCAGCTTGAATATTCGATCTCTACATGTGGGCGGGAATGAAACACCCCTCTCCGCTGATTGGTCAAACAAACATTACAACATAATAATAGTCCTTAAAAAACATAATAAGTGTCATCCGTTTCTATGGATTCTTAATGTGTTTATTTCTACTACATTTTATCCCTTTCTCTTCATCAAACAGCCAGATTAACGAATGGCTTGACCCGAACCGTACCAAGGCAGAGACTAGACAGAGCTTTCTTTTGTGTAGGCATAAATTCTGCAACCTACCCATGAAATATTAGTTTATCTCATAAATATTTATTTACTTCGCACCTGCACTCACAACTACCTACTAGCCTGCATCTTTGGCACACCGCCTGAATTATTATAGCTAACCACCTATTAAAATCTGTGTGGCAAAGCTGCGCGATGCACTGCAGCATGGGAAGAATGTATTGTAGACAAGTGCAGACCACTATGACTTACCGCCACCTAGTGGCGATATTACTTTCATAATTCAAGTATAATTTCATTTTATTCATTTTTCTGTATTAAAAATGTTGTATAAAACATTAATCTCATTTCATTATACATTTGTAATTGCTGTGTAAATGCACATACAGCCGTCTGATCAGCATTAAACTGTAAATACATCTAAAAGCATCTTCAGGCGCAGGTTCTATCTATAGCACTGAATACTGATTTAATTGGTAACAGCCTACTGTCATATTATTCTAATTTATTTGATGTAAGAATTTAACATTAAAGATGACATACAAAAGGTAAAAGGTAAAAAAATAAAAAATAATAATAATAAATAAGTAAAAAACTGAAAATCAGTTGCCCCTTATGGGAAAGTTAATTTCTGAATCAGTTGCCCCTTATGGGAAACTTAATTTCTGACACTGCTGACACTGCTTATCGTTCGAAGTGTTATTTCAGGGTTTGTATATGTTATAACTCAAACAAGTTCACCTTAAAATAATGACGTCAAATTCACATTTGACTAAAGTCAATCACTGAAGCAAGCACTCTGACGAACAAATAGTCCCATGCCAGTGGGATAACAACATATGATTTCCTAAATTTCTAGAAAGTGCTCTATGAATAAAACTGAAAAAAGAAAAAAAAATAGATGTGTTGTGAAGGTAAATTACACAAAGTCATTTCTTTTCATATCTGTCATATTATTTAAGTTCTTCCTTTGTCTAAAACGCAGCGTATTGTCTGAAACAAAAGTTATGACTGTATGTTCACATAAATTGATAGTCTGTGCTTCACTACAATACATTCTCCCCGCGCTGCAGTGTGTTGCGCAGCTTTGCCACACA